CCACTGGTAGAGGTAGTCTTTCAAATTAATCCTTAGAAAGGATAAATAACAGTTGTAAGAGAAGGGGGATATTGTTGTAATTAGTTTTGATAATCCAGACTAAAGTAGTACATGGAATTTATAAACAAGTCCAGCAACAGCATTTTTGTGTGCAACAAGGAAAGAGTAGATAGTAATTTCTACAACAGTCTAAAATCTCCTAATAAAACGGAAATAAATTTTGTGAATGCTCCAAAGCTGAAATTGAACTGGAGGCAAAAGCATCTTCTTGTGACTAAGCAAGCAAGGAAGAAATAAGAGTAACAAGTAGCAGTGAATTCAGAACTTAATTGCATGATAAAGACTGTGTAAACTATCATTACAACAGACAATTTGATGCCTTAAGAAGCCTGAATTAGTTAGCAAGATTATAAAAACTGGATTACTAAAAGACAAAGAAGTCTGGATATGAATTGGGAAGGAGATTGTGAAATGAAAAAATTCCTTGTTTTTAGTTGGACTAACTTTAAAAGGACAAAAGCACATCTAATGGACTTAACTTGGAATAAATGGAAACAAAAGAATGCATTCACTAGGTTGAAATTTAATATTTTCAATGAGTGCTGTCGCTATTGTCTGTGCTGTTATGTTCTTTTAATAGTCATTAAAATAACAATACCATGCCTCCCTTGAAGTCTGCTTTTCTGACAATAAATGTCCAAAGTCAGAGTCTGGATGGTATTCAAACATCTTTTCCTCAACAGTCTCATGACAAGATTATGTTAACTCTCCTGCTTGACTCTAGGCAGGATTATCTAGCAAGAACTTTCTGCAGGCAGGATTTATCTATGTGACTTTATATAAAGCTGCACAGTGATGGAGATTATTAATCCAAATGGCCTGTGGTACTGAATAGAAAGGTAATCTATGGGATTAGCTGTGTAGATGCAGCTTTTAGAACAAACACAAACCTGGCTCCTGGTAACATGAGCCTTAATTAAAGCCTTCATGACAGAGTTATTTTAAGTTTTTGTGCAGTGTTTAATTACTTTAATAATGAAAAGCAAAGTATCAAGTGACATAAGACAGTTTGGTACAAGGGACTCCAGTCATGTAACTCTTGGAAGCGGGAGCAATGATTACATGTGATGTGACTGTCCTTGGCTTCAATGTAGCAAATTTCTTGGGTTCCCCTGAAAATCTATGTAATTTGAGGCAGTAAGAGAGAGCTAAAATCTTTGTATGCATGTAAGCTTCTGTGCTAAATGGCTGGCTGGAGGACTGGCAAACGAGTAGGTGCAGGCAAGTACATCTTAAGTGCTGCAGGTCAACGTTATTTTGCTGTGTGTATTTTCCAAGAATTGCATGGTTAACCCTTGAGCAAAGATTATACATTTGATTTCTTCTTTCAGCAAGGGAAATATTAGCTTGTTTTACTCAACTGGAACAAATCCACACGTTGCTTCTCAGGGCAGCTTCCCTCGAGTACATGCAGTACAATGCTTTTGTTAAGACTTAGTGGTTCTACTTCTGATTCAAGAGGATATAGCAGCAAAAAATCACCGTCAGTCAAGTTAAGAAAAGAGCAGAAGAAAGAGAAAGGGGGAGAAAGAGGGGAAGAAAGATACAAGAATGCATTTTTTCAGTTCTGAAAGGCTTGTTGTGGCCTCTGAGAAAAGGCTTTCTTAGACCAAAAAAGAAAATTGTTGGACAAATAAACTTCTAATGGGTATAGTACAGAAAACTTTTTGTTTTCAAACTTGCAAAAAGCACAACCTTCTGTACTTTTGGATTCTGTACTTTGAAGTTGTGTGTTTGTTTGAAGACCTGAATATGGACACCAGAGCTGCTAGTTTAAACCTAAGTACCATCAGAGAGAATCTGGTCCAGCCCAAAGCAACAAACCACCATGTTTCTGTGATGCGTTTTTAAGAGCTCCATTGCTGATAGGACTGATTGGCCAGTTTTCAGGTTGATGGGATAATTTTCTTGGGGCTATAGGAAAGTACTTCCTACCTTTTATTTTGGTGGCTGTATTTTGTCTTACTACTTCTAGGTGAGTGTTTATTATATTAGTTGATAGCTGAGACTGAATTGCTGTTTTATTCCAGCTTTGCCAAATGGAGTTACATGTGATCAGCTCCCCTGGGAGTCCCTGGATAGCTGTAGTCCACCAAGAATCCTGCGGTCTCAAAAGCTGATGACAGACTTGCCTGTAAGTAGAAACAACTAAGTACCTAAGTCCTGACTGTTGGTGTTTGCTGGAGAGTGAATTGTGCTGCATTTCAGAGGCACTTGAAAAGGTTCTTGTTTTCCAGTTCGATGCACATTGATGTATGTTTGAAAGTAAAATTACTGTACAGATTATTCAACGTGGCTCCAAAAAGATAGGTGTGTTCTTTATGGTCTATGTGCTGCGTAACCATTAGCGGTCATACAGACACGGTACTACTACTGCTGTTTCAGCTTTACTAAAAAATATCTTGGGTTTCTAAAAAGCCAGAGGTGGGGGAAGAAGTGGAACACAACTAAAATAGAGCAAAACAAAATAACGCAGTGAAGTATGTTATCAGCTTTGAAAGTCTTTTTCACCTTTGACAAACATTCCATATAATGAATTTAAGAAACGGACCTCTGCACACTGTGTGACAGTATCACCAGCTGCTTGGAAATGTAATTAATTGATCCTATCACAAAAGTGCTTTGCTAATTACATGGAAAACAGCCTTGTGAGGAGTACTCCGAGGGTTCCTTTGCTGTTTGTTGAGTGCTGTGCAATATGCTTGTATGTTCAGTTCTTCCATTAGAAGCAGGGATTGTGACCCAGACCCCTGTACTCAGGGAAGGTGCACACACCCCCTGAAACAGTCTGCAAGGACTAGGAGAAGCCTGGATACGAATTTTCCCATCGCTGCCTTGTCCTTTCTTACTGAGCAGCAGGGCTCTTCTGGGCAGTAGGAGACGGAGGGGTTGGCACACCAGATCTCATTGCATACTTGTTCTGTGCAGGTTTTTCTCTTGGTGCTGATCTCCTAACAGGTCTCACTGTTACCAGCAAAACCCCCACATGCTGAAGGTGCTTTGGCACTTGTCCTGCCCGAGACATTGCTCTGTGTGTGAAGTATATATGAAGTGACAGATGTTAGTGCCTTGCCGGGTGACACTCTGCTCTCAGGTTTATCTGTGAACAGCAAATCAGTCTTCCCATTGAAAAATAATGAATTTTTCCTCTAGGCCATTTCTGATTCATGTGCATTTCTGTAACCATTGCAAACGATCTGTCGGTTTTGTGTTTTGGATCTCTTTACTACCGTAATGTGTTTGGAGCAAACCTGTGACTACTCAACTCTATTTTGTCAGCTGTTATAGTTGTAGTTTTTTCTTATTAGCACTGAATCAACAGCTTTGCGTTTAGAAAAAATATATTTACACGGACTAAAAAGAGTTTGTTGCATCTCACTACTTACTTTGTGCACATCTTTACAGAAGGGCAGAAAAAAATGCATACTTCTCTGTGATGTACTTCATGTGACCCAGGCAAGATGCAAGAGGGTCAAAACTGATGTGTTCCCATTAAATCTTTCATGACCACACCCAAGAGAAAAAACCAAACCACATGTCTAGCTGTAATCTCTGCTGATTGGAACAGGAATTAAGAGTTTAAGAACCTGAGGTCCTGTGTGTCCTCCCATGCCTGTTAGCTGTAGCCCTTCCGAATTCTCAGTTAGACACTCATAATCGTTTGTGCTCCGTGGATCTGACCCGAATCCTGCTCTGCTTAATGGGCTGTGCTCAATCCCATGGAGTGTTGGTGTCTCAGGAGCACTGGGACTCCCTCTGAAGCTGGGTGGTGGGTTGTGACAAGCAGGGACCCGCACACCAAGCTGTGGTGGTGAGGGCCTGCTGGCTGTGCCGTGCGTGTCTCAGAGGGTTTCCCTTGGCATTCACTCTTTCTCTCTTGCCTCCCTGCACCCCAGTGCCCATCAGGGGATGGAGTGAGCTGGGCTCACTTCCCAAACTCATTTTTTTGGTTTACTTTCATCTCCATTGCCAATAGCTGTCAATCTGCTCTCCCTGTTGTAACTGCTGGATTTTTTTGCAAAATCACAGTGACATTCTTCTGCATACAGTGTTGTGTTAACTAAAAACTCTGCAAATATCTCTGGCAGGTAATTAGTGGCAGCGGTATGTGATCTCTCCTACTTGTACCATGTAGAATAGAGTTCTAAAAGCAATTTGCCCTCTTCGATGGTGCTAGTTACAAACTGGGTATATTGAAAGGAAGGTTTCAGGGTTAAAACTGTAGCTTGAAATGAACAATTAAACATAACAAGCAAAAAAGTAGGAACAGAAAAAGCTGAGATGGTTACATGGCTAAGTTTGCTAGTAAACAGCAGTTGCTGAGATTACAATCCTCCAACTTATTTTTCAACTTATTTGCAGCAAATCTGGTTCTGAAACAAATGGCTAAAACAATTTGTACTGTTTACAAACGCTACGCTACGATTCCACTAAATACAGTGGATATCTCTGCCTTGACAGTAATTCTTACCTCTCCTCTGCCCAAGTATTCTTTTAATCAGGCAGCAGTTTGTTAATTCCCATTAATATTTCCAAACCCAGAGGGCCTGTCCAGCAAAGCTGCCAGTGGTTAATTGTTTCCGGCAATGGCCAATGCCTCTTTTTTTTTTTTTTTTTTTTTCCCTTCTCCCCCTGTAACTGGTATTTCAGAGCAGCAGCCTTCACAATACATTAGCTTAATGCGTTTTGAGCTTGACCAAATCTTCCATTCCCACTACTGCTGATATTTGTCTACTCCTCTACTTGAAGTCAGCATGCAGTATAAATGATTTAGACACATGAATAAATAACCTCTAGATATCCACATCCTTGCAACAGCAAAACCAGATCAAATCTCCCGTTTAGAACAGTATATTGCTACAAGCACCCATTTGGGAAGCAAATGGATTCATGTTCGTAGGATGTTGTGTCATGATTTAGTAAAATGAAGGGTAACTCACTTGAGCATGTCAGTTTGATGGACATGTAGTCTCTGCCACAGTCCTTCCTGTAGTGACAGCGCAACCAGTTTAAGAGGCAGAGTCCGTCCCCACACTGTAGTTCTTCTTTTTTACACGGCAGAATGCTCTGCTCATCTGGAAGGAGGAGAAACAATAGATGATTTTGTGAACAAGCAGCTCCTTCCTGAGCAACAAAGCCAGGTGTCTACTGAAAGTCAGCCTTCCTGCTTTTCAAAGCCCTGGGCAGATGAAAATGCTCTCTGCTCTTTGTCAGATGTGAAAAGGGTCTCTTGTGTTTGAACAAATATTTCCTATACTGTTGTTGCTGATCATTTAAATAGTGTTTGAAACAGATGAGGTCTGGGTGAAGCATACCAAAGAAATCACAAGGTACCATGTCTCGGAGGCACCCACCTTCTGACTGACTTACATATTTTAACATCCAAAAGAAAGCAATAAAACAGGAATATATATATATACAGGAAAAAAAGGGAAAAAGAGATCCTACATTATTCTAAGAAGGTAGTAATTTTTTTTTTCACATTTCACTAGTAGTGCTATTGAAAGTGGTCTTGTTTTGATGGCAGATAAAAGGAAGCTATTTTCTGACAAGTGTATCTGAATGCATAATTGGGTACATGGACATCATTTAGTTGTACTGTGTTGTAGGGCCTTTCAATAGTGAGAGAAATAAACCAGACATAGAAAATAGTTCATTAATGATGAAATAAAAAGGTTTCAAGTTTGCCAAGGAAGACCTTTGCTCAGAGACTCTTTGGGAATCAGCTTGCAATTTCCTTAGAGCATAAAAACTGTATTCCGGTTACTTTATGTAAGCAATCTAAAACATTCCACATACAGGCAAATAAAAGCTCAAGCCCAACTTGAAAACCACCAGCTCTTGAAAGTAAAGGCACAGAGGGCTGATGCGCAACTCGGTGCCCGACAGAAGACAGGCAACTCTGCTACATCATGGTTCGGTTTGCTCAACACAGTTCTCCCCTATCACTGGCTATGATTTCACTACTGGAAGTAAGAAAGTTTTATACAGTTCCTGCAACATAAAATTCCTGTTTTACTTTTCACCGCTTTCCTGGCTCCACTTGAAGGTCACTTAAAGATAAATGCTTCTTCCAGAAAGTAATGCTACGCTTTCTGTTTCTGCTGGTTGTTGTTGAACTGTGTGAGTAATTTTGGGATACGGTCTTCATGAAAATGCTAGAAAACCACTATGATGCTTTATTATCTTCAGGGAGAACAAGCTATCAGAAATCGTATGGGCAGATCCAATTTTTTGGACTGAAAAGCAGTGGGGGCCGATGATGGTTAAAAAGAAAGAGCGTGCAAACCTATGCCATAAAGCTGTATTTCCCAGATGTAGCAAGAGAAAATTATGTCTTTTATGAATCCAGATGATACAAATCTTCCATCTGTTCTCAAGGGGAGCTGCAAAACAACCAAAACCCCGTGAAGACTTGAAAATATGGAAATGCTTTTTTGAGGAAGAAACTGAGACCCAGGGTATAGTCAAGCAGCAGGGCCAGAGGTGGGCATGGCATTCCCTCTGGTGCTGATGGAACTAATGACAGTGGTTGAGTTCTGTGCAATGAAAATCCTTTTGAGCCAGATAGTTTCATTTGTGAGAAAATGCATGACTTTCCAAGATGATGTTTCTATCTCAGTAAAGGCTAGCACAAAGTATTTTGTTTTTAGAGTATGTTTTACCCTGAGGTGAAATTGATTTGAAAACAGTTTCTACTACAGGTGGCAGGGAGCTGACAAAGTCTCTGCCGAAGAAGCCCTTTCTGGTTCTAAGCTGGAGCGTGCCATGCGATGGCCTGCCGGTGGCTTGTGAGGTTTGCATGCTAAATCAGCATGCATTTGAATGAATTTGTGAAGAACATCAAAATCATCATATTGAATTTAGGTTAAGGTGCAATATTATATAAATGTGACGCATAAAATTAATCTGCGAGTTGAAAAGTAACCTGCACTGTTAAAATGCACATAATAGTTTACAGCTACTGTACTTATCCAAATTTTTATTTTCCTGTGTTAGTAATGCCACGTTTTTTATTTAAATGACCATTGAATTATATATCAGTTAAAGTGGGTATGTGCTTATCGCATCAACCACTGAGTCTGACAGTGCCCTGATCATCCACCAGCAGGAAGGATTCTCTGCAGCGTAACCCCTTGCACTTTGTGAAAGTCATTGTCCTGGCTGTTGCCTGCAGCCTGGCTTTGAAACCTTCAGTGCCAGCTGCGGGAAGTGGTGGTGAAGGAGGATCCTCCACTGACACAGGGATGATTTAATGACTTGAGTTTGGCGAGAGGGTGAGAGAATAAACAGCACATGGCACACGTTGGTTTGATGCTTAATGCTCTGCTGTGCTTAGATGATTTAGGTGAGTGTGACACAGAAACCCACTCAAAACACAATATAAGGAAGAGAGATTTTTATCTCTCTGGTGACTTCTTTACCCCTCAATTCCTTAGTATTTTTGCACTGATGGCAACTGAAGAAATTTACAATAACCTGAAATCAGAGGACAGAGACAAGATGTCATTTCTCTACTATTATGGTACCTTGATACTGTGTTTAGCCCTGCATTTTGCTGTGCTCTCCTTGGCTGTATTTGGGAATCATAGTTTTAGATGTTTGAAAATGTGAAAAAGTTCTTAGTTCTACCTCTGTAGATGCTCCAGTGCTCCTGAAGCATGATCTTATGTTTCCAACTTTGGGAAAATTTCAAATTTATAGCTTGTTTCATTCAGTAGAAACATTTATTTACTTATTAATCAGAAGCACAGAAGTGTAGCTCTGAACATAGGGTTTTTTTCCCCTCTTTTTTTATTTTAGATTTCTATCCAGTTTTTAAATGTGGCTAATAGGATCAAGTTGCAAAAGTACAGTCTCCACTTGTGTTTCCATTTAGGATTGTGCTGTTCTAAAAGCAGTGTCTTTTCTAAAAGTGACTGTATATGCAAAATCTTTGTTGGTGCAATTCTGATTTTGTGCTCTCCCTAACCATAGGGACAATTTCTGCTTGGGACTGACGCTGTGTCCTGTACAGTGTGTACCCCAGCACACAATAGCATGAACTCCTCCTAACTGCCTTTTCAATCTATTATTGAATGGCCCATATTCTTTCTAAAGGAACATCTGATTCCACAAATGTGTTTAGCGTGAGGAGGGTGATTATTAGCGTAGTTTAGCACACTCTTCAAATGATGCATAAAAGTCCTCCCCAGTAGCTGCTCTCTGCAGTGTGTGACTTCTCTCGAGCACCATGTTCCAGCCAAATAAGAAATCACTGTGGATTCACGCTCCTCTCCTGACGTGTCTCTGAGGCAGAGTTATAATTACAAAGCCAAATGACTAGATACTGTTGGGCTACTTGTCAGTGTGGCACCTGCAATAAACCAGGAGTCTTAATTTGTCATTCAGAGCTGTTATTGTGTGCTCAAGTCTGCAGGGTTTTTACATTTGTTTGCTCAAGAGGGAATGAGGATCGTGTAGGTGGCTGCCTCATCACTGCACCTTTAGAGGCAGGTTCCAGGGCAATACATTAAAATGACAACAAGGAAACATGGTTTACAAATTTCTAAAACCTCTGCTTTCTTCTGTTCTGCTTTGGGCTTTCTATGACCTATTTTATTAAAAATGTCTTGTACTTCTTGCCCATTGTTTGTGCCAGTGGATTGTGTACTGTGTGTGTTTGGAGAGTGAAAATGGCCATTGTGTACCTCAGTCTAACTTGTAAATAATCATACATGCATTTAGCCCCAAATGTTGAACTCTTTTGATAAGAGGAGATGGTTAAGTGTAGATTAGAAGCAAAGTTGGAGATGAGGTTGTCCTGGTAAGAGCTAGTCTTCCAGCTGGGACCAAATAGCTGCCAGTCTGCGGGTGCTCTGCTGTGTTCTGTATTGCTCTCTCCCCGAGAGGATTTGGGATTTCTTTTGTGAAGCTCATCTGTTTTGGATCCTGAGTCCTTGCTGTAGAAGTCCCTGATTTAACCCATTCTGGAAGTTGTGGCCTGTTTTCAATGTTTGAAAATCAGAAGCAGCCTATTAAATGATTTAGAGTGACTCAGAAAGCTGTTCTACTGACTGAAGTGTGAACTTTCTGATGCAAAATAAGTCATTTCTGTGTATCTCTTGGGTTCCCTGATGGAAGGGAGACCCACCTGTGTTTGTGATGTAACTAGAGTAACATTACAGGGCAGCTGTGGTTACTTTTCTGTCATAAGTAAGTGGGAACTGAAAGTTGAGGTTAAGTGTAACTTCAGAATATTTCTCTCTGTCAAGTCTAAGCGTCATGGACGACTAGTTGTCTGCAGGCAATTAATTCAGCTACATAAAATAAGCATATGAAAAAGCAAAAACGGAATAAATGTTCTGGAAATTACCTTGCAGCAAGTCTGTTCCTTCAGCCCCAAGAACAAAGACAGATATAGGAATGGACGAAGATGGAGAAACCCCATGCTTTGAGAGCAAATAGCTGGTGCAGGATCTTGTTCACAAGGGTCAGTGCCAAGTCATGGACAGAGACCAACTCAGGAGCTAGGAGAGCCTTCCTCTCCCCTTAAATTACTCCGTAATCTAAAGCAATGAAATTTTCTGCCAAACTTTTTTTCACTTCCCACCTTTAGTGTTATCTGGACACCTGCAATTGGGAAGGACAAGGCAGTTCCATCGCGCATGACCTAGCGCGATAAAGCTTTGGTCTTAGTTGGGTCTTTTAAGTAGAAGTAATCCTATAACAATTTTGCAGCTAATTCAAAATAAAGCTAGGATGCCAAAAACCTGTAAAGATCAGATGCTTACAAAGTTGCTTCTCTTATACCATGAAACTAAGCAAGATTAATTGCCAACAGGTGAGATTCGAAAGTAAAAAATTTTAAAAACTGCATGTATTTCACTATTTCTTTTGATAATGCTTCTAATTAAGAAAGAAAACAATTCCTTAAAGGAAAATCCTCATTTTAGTGACAGAAATAAAATGGATTTACATGCTTGCAACTAAAACGAGCAATTAAAACATAAGACACTTAGAATTAAAGAGGCCAAAGGAACAAAGTGTCACAGCAGCAGTATTTGCATTAAGAATAGACAGTGATTGAGTGGCTTTGGCTGGAATGTCCTCCAGTGAATTACCTTCACGCAGGTCCTGGAAGACCGTAGGTGTCGCAATGTCATATAATGTCATTATTTTAAAAAACCAGTCTGAGGGATTTCAGGAAGTTCTAGCAAGATATGTAAGAAGTCTTGGAGCTAAAATCACTGTTTGCATAAATGCTGTCAAAGCCAACTGAATTGCTTGCTTCTGCCAGCTCTGAATTTGAGGCCAAATTTCCAAAGCATCTGAGGATAGAGACTCTAAGCAGGCTTTACACAAGCTCATAATCAATCAGGTGTCCACCTCTCCTTCAAAGATGTTCCGCATAAAGGTGGCTGGGCATCTACTGCATTTTTAGATGCTTGAATATACAGCTCAAATATAATCACTATGGAATAAAGAAATGTCAGACTGCAAGAGTTTATAGTGCTCAGCACCTCTAAAACCTCTCCCCCTTGCTCTTCTCTGAGGGGCTTCTCAGTGTGTGGTTGCTTGTACTGGTTTGATGAGATCCCCTTTAAAAACTAAAGACACATTTCTGTTTCTTTGCTAGGGAGCAAGGTTGGACTCTAAGCTGTATTTCTGCATAGCAGTTGCATTCTAATCTATTATTCTCTCCACTAGAAATCAAATAATAACCAGGAATGGGAGGTAGGAGTTGGGAGAAGCTGCTGAACCAAAAGCATGAAGTCAGTAGTTACACTGGAAACGAGCGATTAGGAGTTGTCAGCCTACAGGCTTGTAACAGTGTGTGAGAAATTGTCAGGCTTGGAGAGAAATTGATCCCTTCCTAGTGCAGATTCCAGTCGCGTAGGTGAAAAGGTGAAAAAAATCATTCTTGATGTAACGGATAGTTTCATGCCATCATAAAATAAATTGATGGCAGAGAGTTACTGAGCGGGATATGACTTAAGGGAGAAGAACAAAGAATTCTGAGGTGCGGTTCTGGAGGCATTTGAACATCCTTCCCTTCTGCACAGCTGAAGTCATTTAAGCCTGAAGTTCAGTGTGGAAATCTGTAGGGAGATACAGGGTCCATCTTTATGGAAAAGGAGATGGAGCCTCTTTGGTGCCTTCAGCAATCATCACACCTGACCAAAAGCTAAAAGCGCTTAGCAAAGAAAATCCAATGTTTCTCTCAGAAATATCTAAAGCAACAAAGCTAACAGCAAATTTTATTTCTGATCAGAAAGTTCAGTTAAATGCTGAAATGGTCAACCTGCCATGGGACCAACGGGACTCCATCCCTGAGTATTAGCCTGCCTGGACTCGACCCCTTTGTCCTGTACAGAAGCAGGGCTCTTGAGGCCCAGCCAAATCTGTATGAGAAGTGCTGTGGTCCTGCTCCTGGGCATTTGCACTTCCTTAGGAAATTCAGTGTTGGGAGTGCGAATGGGTCCAGTACCTGGGGTACCTGAGTTCTGTACAGCTGGAGAATCCACTCCATGGTCTACTTCCTGGAGAAGGACCTGCTCTGGTACATACCACTAGCCTGTGATAACACCAGTCTCTTCCCGTCTTCACTATAAAAGTGTAATACAAGCCACAGTTTGGTTTGTTTTTTATTTTTTTTGGCTAATGCCCACCTGCTGTTGTGTAAATATTATCCGTTAGAGTCAGTAGAACATTCCACAGTCTGGGCATTACAGTAATAAATCATGATAGCTCTTGCGTAGAAGGTCAGAATGTTGTGCCTGGCTGAACTGTACTCGGTTAAGGCCAAAGTAGAACAGACACACTGTCTTAAGAACACTTCATTTTGAAGAGACGTAAGCACCCATTTGGAAATTCGGGCAACGCTCATACTATTCTGAACTCTTTGCTGCAACAGTTCTGTTACAAAACTCCACTAATCTAAAGTTAACGCAATACAAAGTTTCCTTGCCAGGAAGAAGTGGTCTCTCTGGGAGGGATAACAGCAGGAAGAATCCCAGCTTAAGGGTCAAGGAATATGAAGGCGAAGAATGGATAAAAAATCAAGCTATTCTGATTCGAATCCCCAAACTAAACATATACTGACTGTATATGTAATAAGGTGCTCTGAGATGTCATTTGATGGGTAGTCTAAACTCAACAGTTCTGAGGAAGAATAATCTAAACAGCATTTTTGCAATATTAACCTGTAACAACATAAGCATGTTACAAGCATTTTTTTGCCAAGTTTCCAGGCAAATACAAAGAGTAGAGTATACAAATACAAGAGTAGGCTGCTGCAAGGAGCTACACTAACATAAACATTTACAATTTCCTGTCGTTTTTGTATTATTATGTATTTTCTATGACTTAGGTGGTGCCAGTAGGTCATTCATGAGGCAGCCAGAGGGTGAACAATTTGAATCAGCAGGTACCAATTTAGCACTTGCTCTCGAGCCGACTTTAACATGGCTTTGCTGGGAGTGTGAGGGATTACCAGGCAATCTGAAAGACACCGCATTGCATTTCCTCGGTTTTGCACTCTCTTCAGCTTTCCCTACCAAAGTTATCCTGGTTACCAAATTATCTCGGGGTTCAATCCTGCAGATCCCTAGTGTTGTCAGAAGCTGGTCTTGGAGCTTTGGATAATTTCCCCAAATTGGTCGGTTGTGGCAGCAAACATGCAGCTTGATGATATTTCTGGTGTGTGAATGATAGCGCTGCCTGACTTTGTTGTTCCTTCATGTATGTTCCAAAGTAAATAAGGTAATTTTTAACTTTTTGCGCGTTCTTTCTTTAAACTTCAGGTTTAATGATATGATTTCTCACCTGTGATGGGGATCTTGGCTTGAAAATTGTTACCCAAGTCATAATCTAGTTGCAGAATTTCAGCGTGGCTTTTCTTGAGCTGCAGCCCTTGCTCTGAGAGAGGTCTCGGTAGTTTTAGCTGTTGTGCATATATTTTTTATCATTATGCATTCTTTCCTCTACGAGACTGGACACGCTTCTCTGCTTCCCTGCATACATGTGGGCTTCTGCCAAAATAGCACCAGTGACATGGGCAGAATTGGCTCCTAGAATGTTATATTTCCTTTTCAAAACACTTCCATGTAATAACTACAAAAGTCAGTCATAAAAAGGAGAGTAGAAGGAAGTCAAATGTCAGGAATTGTTTTATTTCAATGACTGGAAGTAATTTTTAGCCACATTTGTTTCACTAGTGAGTGCCAAAATGATAGAAATTTTGATTGATGTCAGTGTGCTCAATTTGTAAATGAGTTTTAGCAACTATGTGCTAATTTGTTGTTGTGGGAGAAAACACTGAAAGGCAGGATTTTTTTAAAAGGAAATATTGAACTACTTGTACTTGAGGTCCATAAAATTTAGTGTCGATTTCAGACAATTCTCTCATTCATTTCTGTGAGTTTTGTCTGTATAAAAATCACAAGGTTAAGTAAATTTGTCCATTTCTGTTAACTCAGTTGTTTCCTTAGTCAGGAAGCTATTTGCTTTTTAATGGATTGATGTTTATCTCCTAGAGGCCTTTAAATTATTATATTCCTACAGCTGTACATGACTGCAAGGCATGCCATTAATGTAGGTTTTTAAAAAAAAAGACTACTTACAGAGATTGGAATAATTGCTGCCTATTCCAATACGGATCGAGCTTCCAGAGATGACAGGAAGATGGAAGAAAAGAACTAAGGAGGGAAAAATGGAGGAGAAAAAAAAAAAAGGTACTTAATAGCAGTTTGGTTTTGTTTTGCCTCCAGATGTCAGCTGAAGGCACAGCGTGTTGTTAGCGTGCACCCGCGCTCGCTGGGGCAGGATTACATGTGTCAGGCTGGGGATATACGTGCGGATGGAGAGTGAATGGGAGAGAAAAAACCCAAACAAGGCACTGCTTCCTACTTCCAGGAATCACTCCAGTTCAGGGAATGATATTATATATGACTTTCATGCCTCTTAGATTCAAAAGCCCGTGTACAAACAACAGTGTGTTATATAAATATGCTAATTGTTGTTGTTAAGTCATTTCCCGGGCTCTGGAACAGGCACCTACCATTGTAAAGCAAAAGAACCGCTTCCTAATTTGTTGAAGTGCATCTTGAATAGGTTAGGCGGGCGTGTGCCAAGCTGGGCTGGAAGAAATTTATTCTCAAATTTGATACACGTACCCCCCCCCCGCCAATGCGTTTAAGCTTTTAATATTTATAACTTGCACTTCCAAGATTTATACTTGCAGGCAACAAAAATGCACGCGAGTAAAACGTGTCCTAAATAACAACACGTTCAGGTTCCTTAAGCGGGGGGCTTTGCTCCCGCAGCCGCCCATCAAAGGCGAGGTGCCCATGGAGGGTGCGGGACAGGGGGCGTGGGGGCTGGATGTACCCCCCCCGACGGACCACCCTGTGCCCGGGGCCGGTCCCGGTTCTGCCCCCCGCGGGGGGCAGCCTGAGGATGGGGACGGGGAGGAATCACCGGGGGTCAAACGATGCTTTTTCTCTTTTGGGAGGGGGTTCCCGAGTACCACAAAGTTTCCGCGCCCCCCCTCCGCCCTGTCGCGCCGCCCCGCCCCGCTGCGGGCCCCGGGTGTGCGGGGTAGTGGTGGTGGGGGGGCTCCCGGCGCGGTTCCCCCCCCCCTCC